ATATGCCTTTGTGTGACACACAAATCACACTGGTGAAAAAGTGAGAAGGAACAAATTCAATTGAATGATTATCCTCTCACCCTTGCATCGGCCAAATCGCCAATTCGCCATGCTCCTGGAGGGGCAGAGGCTCGAGCATCGCCTTGGAAGTTCTAGCCCTCTTCGCCGATGAGTTTTGTACACAGGCGGCAGGCTTGGCACCCATAGATGGCCTGTTGCCCATCTGTTCTTCCAAAAACGCAGTTCAGGTCAGCGTGCCATATGTTGCTGTGAGGGAGAATGTAGATCTCGGTGTCCTCCAGCATCCGCACGAAGTCGGGGCGCAGGTGCTCATACTTTGCCTTCCATTTGCCTGCTTCATCTCTTGCGTCGGTTGTCAGCTGCTGCTTCTTGATGAGCTCGGCCTCAAGGGATCTTCGGTATTCGCAAAGAGTCATCACCTCCTCATACGTGGCGCGGAAGGTCGCCTCATCCTGTGGGGTCATGACGGTACGTGTGACCACTTCAGTGGGGGTTGTCTCTTCCTCTGACTTCATTTTGATCACCGCGTCGACATAGCCATTGACGTAGCATCACCCAGCCATAGAGCAACATCATGATCGCTGTGAAGATCATTAAGAGGACCTTGGCATAGTCCAGGATGCACAGCTCGGCAGGGTTCTGCGCATTCTCATTGGTCATCGCAGCTTCGGTGTGGTTGGTCAGCTTCTCATAGACATTGGACATCGCTCCTTCGGTGTGGTTGGTCTCCAGGGCGTTCACGACGTTCAGAAGTCCAGCAAACATCCCGTGCATCGCCCTTCCAAGTTTCTTGATGGCATACTTCTCGGCTCCTTGCTTCCGCTCGTTTGCAGTCTTGCGCTTCGCAGCTTGGAAGGTCAGGGCAAGCGGGTCTGATGACTTCGAAGACGATCTGCCAAAAGTTGGGCTGCCGACCCCTTCGTCAAACCATCTGCATTTTGCAGCTCTGAGCTGACCCATGAAGTGCGAGCTCCGCAGCACTTCAACTCGTCCTGTGTGACCAAAACCTCAATGGCTGTTCTCTTGTCAGCTGCCTGTTCCAGCTTGCACCTCCTCCTTGATCAGCAAATCGTAGAGGGCTTTGGCGTCTACCACCAATCGCGGTGCATTGGGAAGCTTGGCTGCGTCCACATTGTCCAAGACCAGCCAGCAAAACCAAATGAAGTTCCAAAACGTAGATGCAAAAAGCAAAGCGTCTGCAGCCTCGGAAGCGCCTTGGCTCTCAGCACTCAAAGTTGAGCGAGCCACGCGTAGCAGTTTCCAACTCCGCCAGTCCAGCACATTGTACCATCCTTCTTCACCTTCGGCCTCTTTCTTGCTCACCATGACCAGCATGTAACCGCCTTGGCCGCTCAAGTCATTGCGGCAGGCAAAGGAGGCATCACTGTAGGCAATCATGAAAGGTCATTCTTGTCGCCCAAATAGCGATACTCCAGGCCGACAGCTGCATTGGTTTTCGTCGTTCATTCTCAAGGTCTTGTTGGGAAAAAGCTGCTTTTTGATCGTTGCCTTGGTCACCTCGCCAGCCAACATAGAGACTTGGGATTGCAAGTGTGGTGAAGACTGTGTTGCTGGCCGCTGCAGAGCTCCAATCAAATCACGTAGTTGAGTCCGCTCGCTTTCAGTCACAGGTAGGTCTTCTTGATTCTTGCGCTCCTTGGAGATGCTTATCGGCTTTGTACGTGCAGGTACTTCTCCTGATGGAGACGCCAGTGGTTCTCACATTGACCTTGTTGACCTGGCAGCCGCAATATTCAAGATGATCACGGCTGAGCCATTCACGAAAGCTGAAGACTTCCTTGAGGGACTTCTGGAGCTGTGTGGCGTGCCAATTGCTGGGCTTCAGGCATCCAAACAAATCATCAACATGTACAGTATGCCAAACATGCCAATCAGTTGCGGTTCCAGTCCAAATGCATGAGCTTGATGAGGATCCTGGTCAAAGGCCAAGCACAGGCAGGCATCAAGAGGGTGTTGAATGATGGTGCCCTTGCCAATGCGCAGGATGAGCTCAGTTGCTTCTTCATACCAGGCACGTGGGGCATCACATAGCCCATAGATGGGTTTCACCAGCTTCATCAGTTGGCCGCTGTCTCGCTCAATACCCAAGATGGTCTCGGCATCTCTGGGAAGGCGGACCCATATCTCACGCGTGCCATCGGCTTTGAAGCCTTTGCCTTGGCATCATTGGTCAACGGCTCCATGCCCATCATTGTAGCCACTGTAAGGATCACTCCTCTTGCCAGTCTGGTCAACGTAGGGCTCGTTGTGGACAAAGATCCAGTCCATTCAGGGCATCGGGTCTTGCTTTGGCTCGTGGTGAGCCATCAGGATTCTTCTCCCAGCCAAGGATGAACTTGGCCTTCAAATGCGATCTTCTGGAGCTCCACGTCCTTGATCAAACTGCCAAACGGAGTTGTCAAAGAAGGACTGCAACTCCTTCATCTTTGCTTCTCTGAAGGCCATCCTGTCCTCAAGGCTCACGTAGCGCTCGTTGAGGGGCTGGTTGCTCGGCTCCTGAGCATAGCATTGCTCCACATTCATTCTGCTGAAAGAGCTCCTTCGCTTGCTTGCACCAAGCTGGAAGAATCTTGAAGCGGGTGTAGCCGGTGCAGATGTTGTTGGCGTACTTCTTCTTGAGGTTACCCTTCTTCCACTTCTCGCGGTACAAGTAGCTTCCCATGCTGACCACCTTCTTCTTGTCCCGGAAATGCAACGCCAAAGGACATGTGGCCTCATCAGGGACATAGTCCGTCTGCCTTGGAGGTGAGGTAGTTGCCATTGAGCCCCCAAGCGTCCATCACAGTGTCATCCAGGACCATGTGGCCATGTTCAAGTTTCCATCCTCTGGGAAGCTTGGTCTTCTCATTGATGTCCACTGCGAAGGAAAACTGGGCATCTTCTTCATCTTGTAGCAGTCGCTCCGCTCTGAATAAGGTGTCAATCTGGGCAAAGTCCTTGGAGCTGGGCCATAGGTTTTTGGCAGGACCATTGCTTCTTGGTGTTCATGTCGTCGTCGCTGTTGCTCAAAGGTTGGTAGGCCAGGTTGTGAAGGTGCTTGAAGAGGTTGAATAGGTTGTGGAACTTGTTGAGGTTGCCCTGAATGAGGTAAGGCTGCAGGAGGTAGAGTTGCAGGTTGGGATAGTCTATGTGGTGTGGATTGTTGGCCAGGTGGTTCTTCCATTGGTTCAATCACACTGCCGGCGGGTGGTTCGGCAAATGGTGCCGGAGTTGTTGTAGCAGTTGCTGCGGGACCTCCACCATCTCCTCCCCGCATGTCATCATCATCAGCGATGCTCGGGCTCGGAGACACGGAAGGTGGTCCACGAAAAGGGGCTGTAGGATCACCTGGTCCTCCACCGCCGCCAGAAGGTGGGCCATCATTTCGGAAAAGCTGCCGAGACACTGGTGAGCAAGCCAGCATCCACAATGAAGGTTGTTGCCCCCGTCCATCCATTAGTGCATCTTGCGGTCCGCATCAGGGCCATTCCATTCATCTCTGACCACCAAAGTCTCAGGACTGGGACCTCCTCTGCGGATGTGAGTGACGCGCTCCTTCTTGAACAGGTGGAAGGGAACCTCGCCGTAGAGCAAGTCAGGCACAAAGAGCTGCTGCCTGGCGAGGTTGTGGATTCTGGCCCATGTCCTTCCACCGTCACTTGCTTGCCATCGATCTTCCATGGGCTCGGCAGGAAGGTCACCCATCTCATGATCCAGTTCTTCAGCTCCATCCTCAGATGCCACTTCTTCTCGCTTGCGCTTGTTCGACTCGGACAGGTCGATGTAGTGCATCACACCGCGATTGCGGACTTTCATCAGGGCCAGCTTGGCACGGTCGATCGAATCCAAAGCTCTGGATTCATCAGTCTCAGGGTGCATTGCCATCAGAATCTTCAGGGTTCACTGGGTCCGTCACTGGGGACATCTGTTCCTCTTCAGCCTGCTCAGGCTCATCACTTTCCAATGGGAACTCCCGCATCGCCAAGGGTTGCACATCGTTGTTGGCATAGGCCTCCTCTTCAAACTCATCCTCATAGATCCTGCAGACCGTGTCAAAGATGGCATTGCAAAAGCCTTGTTGATAGGCTCCAGAAGCTCGTGCTCGGTTGCAAATCTTCGGGCTTGAGCTTTCGATTGGAAGATGTTCATGATCTCCCATGCAAAGCTTTGTCATTTCCCCTGCAGCTTGAAACGAAGGCCATCGCAGCGTCGTGGGCTTCTTGGTGTACATCCAGTCGCCAAAGCTGTCCGGGAGCATGGTGCCAAACTGGCACTGGTCCCAGATGCTGTCGAGTTTGCTCCAAACAGCATGGCGTCCTTCACGCTGTTTCATGAAGCCGCGAGAGCAAGCCGCAGGTGGGTGGCTTCTTGAAAATCACGTTCAGCTTCCAAGGCCTCGATCTGAGCCAGGGTGTGGAGGCTCAAGTTCTGGAGAGTTGACCACTTCTTGCATGGGGGCGCAAACCAACTGAAGTCGGGCATTCAAGATCTTGTAGTTCATGGAAGGCACGTCTGTGAGCTGCCTTCTCAAAATCCCATCCATTGGAGATGTCAAAACTGCGCACATTCCATCCATTGGCCCCGAAAAGGTCTTGGACAGCAAACCATCGCCACTGTAGAGCCGGTGGTGTGGGCATTCAAGATCGTCTTCGTGGTGCTCTTCCTTCAGTGGCCCCAAACATTGAAGTGGATGGACGTCGATGAATTTCCTTTCGAAGTTGGTGATCCACTTGGGCATTGTGCCGCCTTGCCGCCAGGAGAAACTGGGAGTTGAGCTGCTGCACCACCAGAAGCTGCATCAGGAGCAAGTGCCACAACGCGCTAGTACCTTTGGGCAGCACGAAGATTGGCGAGTTGGCGCCTTGATTCCAAGTAGGCTCTTCCATCGTTTCATCTAGTCGCCACGCAGCTCATCAGACTGGTAGTAGGTCTCTTCAGCGTTGTCATCGGCTCCATGGCCCTCCCGAGTGGTGTCATACTCCTGGTCCATGGCCTCCTCATAGAAGGCGTCCTCGGTCTTGGCACTGGTCCGGGTTGGTGTCCTCCTCCAGAGCTCGTCATCATCCATCTCGCGGGCTTCCTCTACAGCATAGGCATGTTGTCGGGGAGGCCATCGTTGGTGCAGCTTGATTGTGCATTGGCTCCCCATCGAACGTCGCTGCGTCCACGATAGTCTTGGCCGAAGAGGTAGTACATGGTAGTACATCGCTTCTTCAACCTTGACCTCTTCCAGGGAAGCACATTGCGTCTGCACCATCTGCCTCTGCTCATAGGTCAGGCTTGACCTTCTCAACAGCAGCCAGCCGCTAGCCGTGTAGGGCAGGGTGATCTTGTGCTTCTCCAAGTTGCGTCGGGCTTCACGATGGTCTGCACAGTACTGCATCAGGCTTTGATCTCCTCGGCGGGTGGATCCATGTAAGAATTTCTCCATTTTCTCCGGCGCCCGAGGCATCTCAACACAATCATCATATTTGAAGCGCTTGTCCAACTGGACCAACACCTGGTCAAATCCAGTCTCATCCTCCTTTGTCCACCATGTGCTCCACCTGTCTCCATGAAATTCCCGTCAGGGATGTCAGAAGGCTGATCGCGGCCTCCTTGCTTTTCTGATGCGTTTCCTCCATTCCTTATAGTCCTGGGGCTTGTTGGAGAACAAAGGGATGTAGTTACACCTCACAGTGTCACCAACATGGGATGAAAGCTGA